GTTTCCCCCGATATAGTTTGGGTACTCGTTCTGTATCCCCAAAGGACAAAGTATAGCTGCTGAACCTAGCTTTCTTTGGCGTCGAACATCCATTTTTTGAGACCGTCCACAATTACCTTGTTTGCTGCTTCAGCTTGCCCATTCGAATGTGGGTGCTCCACAGATGCGAAGCGATGTTTGACTTGTAAGTCTTTCATCAATTGTTGGAACCTTTTATCAGCAAATTGTGTTCCATTATCAGTTACCACCTCGGCTGGTATTCCAAATCTGGAGACAATATTCCGTTCAAAGAACCTTTGTACTCTAGCCGACGTGATTGTGGTGACTGGTTCTGTTTCTATCCACCTGTGAAGTAATCCACAGCTACAATCAACCACTTTAATTGTCCTTCAGCAGCTTTGAAAGGTCCCAGCAAGTCCATTCCCCATTTGAAAAAGGGCCATAGAGCTGAGATATATTTCTGTTCTTCTGGTGGCGAAAGAATTAGCTTAGCATGCTTCTGGCAACTGTCGCATCTCTTGACATGTTCTTTAGAGTCTGCCTCCATAGTCGGCCAGTAGGAACCAGCTCGGAGGGCCTTTCTAGCCAAAGCTTTGCTCCCCATATGATGGCCATTGATTCCTTCATGTATCTCGGCCAGCACATATTCTGCTTCTTCTGAGTTCAAATATTTCAGCATGGGGATATGCAACCCCTTTCTAAACAACTGATCGTTCACAATTGTGTATTGCGCCGCATCTCGGACCAGCTTCCAGGATTCCAGTCGATCCTCTGACAATGTTCCTTTCTCAAGGTATGCCACTATGGGTTTCCTCCAGTCATTTGCCGAGGTGATGATCATCACGCAACTCGGCATAGTTATGCTTTGTTGTACCACGGTTCTGTGGTTACCTGGATTTTTGGTACTTACCAACTTAGACAAGATATCAGCTCGGCAGTTTTCCCCTCGAGGAATGTGAGTAACTTGCACTTCATCGAAGTCCGCCATTATTTCTTGCACCTTGTTCAGGTATTTCACCAATAGAGGGCCTTTGGCCTGATACTTTCCTTCTATCTGCGAAGTCACCAGTTATGAGTCATTGAAGATTTTTACCTTCTTGGCTCCGTGTTCTTTAGCTTGCACTAATCCGGCTATCAAAGCATCATACTCTGCTTGATTGTTTGAAGTTGGGAAGCCCAAGTTCAAGGAGTGTTCTATTGTCACTCCTTCTAGACTTTCGAGTATGATTCCAGCTCCACTTCCTTTATCATTGGAGGATCCATCTACATAGACCTTCCAGGTATCCCCAGATTCCTTATGTTCCAGGTTCACCGGTGTTAGTTCCATTATGAAGTCGGCCAAAACTTGCGATTTGATGGCCTTTCGACTTTCATATGTTATGTCATACTCACTGAGCTCAATTTCCCAGTTAGTCATCCTTCCTTCCAGGTCCGGCTGGTGCAACACCTGCCGTATAGGCTGATTAGTCTGGACTATTATCTGATGTCCTTAAAAATATAGCCGCAATCTTCTGCCCTTGATCAGCAAAGCGAAGGCCACTCTTTCTAGCTTTTGAAATAAATCGGCTCTTGGCCTTTATCGGTTTCCTTGATCAGGACATCACTTATTGCCTCCTCCCCCACAGCCAGATACAGGATCAGAGTATCTCCTGGTTCTGGCTTTGACAGCACTGGTGGGGTTGCCAAGCATTTCTTCACCTTTTCGAACGCAGCTTGACATTCCGGATTTCAGCCTTCCATTGCTTCCTTCTTTAATAATTTAAAGAATGGGAGGGCATTCTCATCAGACTTTGGTAAGAACCGGGTTAATGCAGCCAATCTACCAGTTAACTGTTGAACCTCTTTTTTATTTTGGGGTACCTTCATATCAAGTACTGCTTTGCACTTGTCAGGGTTTGCTTCAATTCCTTTATGGGTTAACATGAAACCCAAGAACTTCCTAGTTGGGACTCCAAACACACATTTTACTGGGTTTAGACGAATGCGATACTTCCTGAGCTTCTGAAAAGTCTGCTCAAGATCCTGGACTTGATTTGTCATATCAAATGACTTCACAATCATATCATCAATATATACTTTTACATTTTTTCCCAGCTGATCTTCAAACACCTTATTCATCATCCTTTGATAAGTTACCCCTGAGTTTTTAAGCCCAAATGGCATCACGTTGTAGCAGTAATTGGCCTTTTCAGCAATAAAGACGGTTTTTTCTTGATCCCCTGGGTACATTGGAATCTGGTTGTAACCAGAGTAGGCATCCATGAAAGACAATAATCAAAATCCAACCGAATTCTCTACCATCTTGTCTATGTTAGGCATAGGGTAGGAGTCTTTTGGGCAGACCTTATTCAAGTCCGTATAATCAGTACAGACTCTCCATTTCCCGTTTGGTTTTTTCACCATCACAACGTTCGCAAGCCATGTTGTGTACTGTATTTCCTGAATGAACACGGCATCCAGCAACTCCTTCACGTGTTCCTCCAGGACTTGTTTCCTTTCTGGTCCCAATTTCCTTTTCTTTTGAGAGACCGATGTGGATCCGGGGTAAACTGCCAACTTGTGGCAGCAGAAGGCGGGATCTATGCCTGGGATTTCTGATGATTTCCAGGCAAATACATATGTGTTACTCTTGAGGAACCCGGCTAACTTTTCTTTGACTTGAGGATTTATGGTCTTATCAATTCGGTTAAATTGACCAGGTTCTTCCCCAGGTACGAGGTTTTCTAATTCCCCATCGAGCTCAGGCCTCGGGATTACTTCTTCTCTCAACCACATTAACAGGCTTCCTTGAATGGTGAGGAATTTTCTTCCTGACGAGTTTGTCCCCGGGATGGATCCGAGGAGGACTCAAATGTCCGCCTTCGTTCTCCTTGACAGGGTCAAAGTAGCACCCTCTGGATTCTTTTTGATCTCCACAAACAGTGATTATTTCATTCTTGCTGCTTATGATCTTTATCTTCTGGTTTTGTAGAGACCAGCATGTCCCATTAGTGTATGGTTGGTCTCCCCAGAATTATATTATATTCTGATGGGAAATCGGCCACTATGAATCTGACCCGTTCTGATTTGAATGCTTCCTTTGTTCCCAGGGTCAACCTGAGGTCTATATAGCCTTTAGGAGGTGTATGCTCTCCGTTAAAAGCTATCAAGGTTGTTTTGCAAGGTTTGAGGTCCTCCTCATCAAGGTTCATCTTTTTGAAAGAATCCCACAGTATAATGTCGGCACTACTTCCTGCATCGACGAAAATCTTCTTAACTCGGCAATTTACCAAGGTTCCAACGATGACTAATCCGTCGACATGTCCCGACAAAACACCATGCATGTCTTCCTTTGTGAAATACAACAGAGGAGGGTCTGGTTTGCTAAGTTCTTCCTTGAATTTGGGACAATCCTGGACGATCCCGGATAGAAATGACCTCTTTCAAATACTTTCGTCTGGCACTTACAGTGTCTCCTCCTCCTCCTCCAAAGGCTCCACTAATTACATTACAGTCAAATTCCACTTCCGGGAATTCATCATGGTTGGAATCATCTTTCTGGTTCCTTTCATCCTTATTTTTCTTTTCAGGGACCAGGCTTTTACTTCTCTTTCGGTTTCCACACTTCCTTTTTTTATTTTTGGAACCCTGGGTTTTGATCACGTACTGGCGTAATCTTCCATCTCTAACAAATTTCTCCACAGCATCTCGGAGATCCCAGCCTTGATCAATGGTGTGACCCGGTCCATCATGGAAAGCACAGTACTTGGACTTATCCAAACCTCCTCTGTCGAATATGGGTCGAGGTCTTTCTACTTTCTTCATATCTGTCATTGCCACTTCCTTCCAGATTTGAGAGCATGAGGCATTCAACGGTGTGTATTTCTTGTATCTTCCAATCCAGTCTCGGCCATCCGGGATTCTGGTTCTAGAGTCTTTCTTCTTATTACCACTTCGCTCTTTTTCTTTTGGGATCGGGCTCCTCCTCCTTCTCGGGCTAATTCTTTTACCTTCTTCAAATTGCGCATTTGCAATCTCCATTTGCGAGTTCGAGGTACTTCTTTGAACCAATATTGTACATATGAAACCATTTGTCTTGACTTTTCTTTTAAGGATGCATGCTTTTGAAATATATGATTGATGAATGACCTTGAGCTCATGCAATGCTTTGTATCTATACATCTTTACATTTTTATCCTAAGTCCTAAATAGGTATACCATTTGAGATTCTGGACTTGGATTGATGCTTGAGACTTGGTACATGCTTTCACATTTGCTTTTTGGATATTGCTTCGTCTTTGAATCATTCCTCTTTGTTATCATCAAAACGTTGTTGACGTGGAATCATCAAATGTACGTTGTATCCACATCATCGCTTTGATTCATCAATGTACGTGGACATTCTCTTGTAAACTCGGTTTCTGGAGAGTTTCTTCGGGTTGTTGACGTATCTTTTCAAGTGCAAACTCGGATTTGGGATGTTTCTTGCTTGTCGCAAAATTTAAGAGAAACTTCTCCCCAAATTCCTCAAAGGACCCAATGGAGTTGGCAGGTAAGGTAGAGAACCATGCCTGCGCAGCCCTAGTCAGAGTTATGGAAAATATCCGAGATATGAGGGGCTCATCTATCTCTCGGATATACATGTCCGTATCAAAAGCATCGATGTGGACCAGTGGGTCTTGCCTTCCATCATATTTCGGCAATCGCGCTGAATCAAAATCTTTTGAGAATGGAGCATTCAAAATCTCCCCCATGAAGGGGCTGTTATTATACTTCACCCTACTATATTTTCTTCTGTATGCACCAGGTTCCACGTGCCCTCTGATGATCTGTGCATTCTGGTTAGGGTGGATTCCATCCCAGTGTCTCTGCCCATTTGCTTCTATTGAAGCATTTTTTGAGTCAGGGCCTGCACAGCAGCGTTCTGGTCACCCATTGTCAGGTTCTCCAGGTTCAGATTCATCGTGCTCACCAGATTAGGCTTTTCGCAGTTGCTAATGGTAGAAGGAGTGCCAACTTTATCAATAAATAGACAATGGATAAACAATATCCTTTCTCTTCTCAACCATCTTCAAAGTAAGTTCAGAAATTCTTTTCAAATTGATAAAATCAGAATCAGCTCTTACATCAACAATAAAATTACTCAGACTTGAAGAAAGAAAAGGAATATCTGCAAGCTCATCAAACTCCAAAGGATAAAATCTAGCAAACTCAATCAACTCTTCTTTGTTAAAAGTAGCAAATGAATCACGAGGATCAAGACAACTCAAACACTCAAGCAACCTGGTATTGACATTATCAAATCGATCACCCAACTCTTGAACTTGAGTATCTATCACTCTATTAAATAACTCCACCTTAAAGTAGTGCAAGAATGTGAATGATTCCAATCTCCGTCTTGATCTCCCTTTAAGACAATAAATATCTTCCATATTTTGAATGTCAATATCATATTTATTGGCAAATATGTTCGTTTCTTGAAGCAATTCATCAAAACCATTATCTCTCACCTCTTGTAAGCGAGACTTCCAAGATAAGTTTCATAAGATGCAACAAGAATGCAAACTCAAAATCCTCCATAGCATACAAAATGCAACCTGCATCAGTTCTTGCAGCATCATTCTTAGGCTCATCTTCAATAATTTTCATCAAGGAAATTATTGGAGAAAATAATAAGATAACACTTGTAACTGTACCAAAATGAGAACCCCAACGAGTGTCTCCAGGTCGCTTTAAGGTTGTCTCTTGATTCAAACCTTTTCCAGTTAGTATTTCACCGCGAGCAATTCTTTCAACTATTTGCTCATATTGATTCACTAGAAGAATTTCTTTCCGCTTGCATGAACCCCCCACAACGGTAGCCATCTTTTGAAGCATGTCAAAAAATTCTTGAATCTTCTTATAATGTTTTTCAACCTTCACAAGTGCCAATTGTAACTGATGAGCAAAATAATGAATGTAGAATGCAGATTTGTTGTCTGCCAAAATCAAACTCTTAAGCCCTTTGAATTCACCCCACATATTACTAGCACCATCATAGCCTTGACCGCGACATTTAGACAAACTTAAACCGAGTTTAGAAAACAACCCATCAATCGCATCTTTTAGTGATTGTGCAGTAGTATCTGCAACGTGAATTATGCCAATAAAACATTCAACAATGGACCCTTTTTTGTTTACATACCGAAGTACAACTGCCATTTGTTCTTTAATTGCAACATCATGAGCTTCATCAACTAGCAAAGAAAAGTAATCATCGCCGAGATAACTAATTATTGCTTTAACTGTCAAATCAGCACAAGCTTGAGCAAGATCTTTCTGAATTTTTGGTGAAGTCATTTTGTGATTATCGGGGGCATTTTGCAAGACCACATGACTCATCTCCTTATTTGGCTTAGTATAAAACTTTAGAGTTTCAAGAAATAAACCTTGTTGATTTGAACTTTCAGATTCATCATGCCCCCGAAAAGGCTGACCATTTGATAATAAGTATCTAGCACAATCTAAAGAAGCTTTCAGACGAATACGATAATCAATTCTTTGTTGTTCATAAATATTTGAAAAGGCAATATCAATATGTTGCTTTTGCTTCATCAAATCTTGACAAGCTTGATAACATTGTGAACACTCTTATGACCTCCAACATGAACTTTGATTCTATCTTTCTTCTGCCAATTTTTGAACCCCACACTAACAAATGCTTCCTTCGTCGAACCACTACCTCCAACCTCCATATCAAATAGATAACAATACAAGCAAAAACATGTATCTCGTGATACACTATAATCCAACCAAGAACCAAATTCTTCATACCACTTAGGATTGAATCTACGCAATTTTCCAAACATTTCCATTTGAGGAAATGGTTTAAGAATTGGTTGAGTTGGACCCTTGAGCAAATAAGCTCTCCGAATATCCTCTCTCTCTCTATAGGATTTGATGTCATTAAACAAAGTGAAGGTCTTTTTCCCGGATCCGCTTCAAGATTTTCTATATTAACTTTTGCTTGAGGTGGTGATTGAAAACTTTGAAATTGAGATGCTTGTGGTGGTACACTTTGTCTTTGAGATTGGGGAGAATTGTCCACAATTGAAACATTTTGTCTCTGAAGTTCATAGGATTCGGGTTCTGTATTTGTGCATTTTTTACGTTTGAAATAAGATTGTATCCCTGACAAATTCAAAAGTAAATATAAATTATACCCTTTGTTGTTATTAAAACAATTATAACAAATAAATAAATATAGAAAGTTACCTTTCATTGAGACTTGTCGAATTATTATGAACCCACAATTGCAAACTTGAGAGGCTTGTGAATATTTACAATATCACACCATAAGTGCAATCAAAATAACCCAAATGGCATTCTTCATTGAGCAATAAAAATTACTCTGATCTGTCTCTTTCTACAGCTACAGAATTTCATACAACAAATATATATTAACCGTAGGGTATTATCTTATCATATAAAGGCACAATAGCTAACTCAGTAAAACTGCACACATGGAAAAGCATTTCCCAATTTGCAAATTAAATCCATTCTTACACTCAATTATTGCACTTGCTAGCCACAGATTCAAAACCAAAAAAGAATATCTGTAAAAATAATAATGTTACACTCATTGTAAGAGAAAAAGCAAAAGAACTAACTAGGCATACTTCATGGATATAAGTCTAGTGTCGGTTTTAGGATAATATACTATTAATAAGGAGTTTGGACATGGCAACGAATACTTGTGCCGAAGATATGGGCAAACGGTGAATGGTCAATTTTTTTGTCATTGACGTCTTTGTTGACTGAGTAAATGAGTAATTATAACAGTAGCAAAAAAATGAGTAATTATAATCCTAAGTTAATACAAGTTTTTGATTTGATATCTATATATTTTGGACGGATCAAGAATGTGAAGATAGACATAGGTGCGGGACATTAATAAAGAGAAAACAAAAAGCAACACTCCAATTAAGGACAAAGAATAAAATGCTTTCAAATTACCTTTATTTTCATAATTATCATTCGAACATATCAATACAAGAATGATCATAAAGATAAACACGTACGGAAGCAAGCGTCACTAACTCTCAGCCAATGGCATTAAATGTAAAGACTCAACTACAAAAATGTCAAGAATTATATTTTATAAGCGCACTTAATAGAAAAATCAGAAAACTGCACATAAGCCTTGCCATTCAAGGCATCAAATAATCATATGCAGCTCAAAAACACCATCAGCAACCTCAGGATGAGAAGTTTGAGCATGTGGCATACCTCTTGATAACTAATTAGATTGGAAAACTACAAGGAATTGCATCAAGCTTATGGATTAGAATCAAAAGAGCACATTGAATGCTGTCAATAAACTAAATCTATAAAGATGAATACACATTTCACAATAAGAAGTTACAGGAATAAAATGCACATACTTCAAGTAGGTAATGACGACATCTGGATTTGATCATCAAATTCTCTGATAAATCAGAATTTCGAATAGAATCTTTTCTATTGCGGTCCAATGAAGTTGCTTCATATATCCCTACAAAAATTCATTGCCGGTGGAGATTCAATCAGCAAGCAGATGGTACAGAACAATCCAGTCACAAAAAAAAATAAAAAAAGTACCGAAGTGTGGAATCATCACCGTCAGTCTTCACAGTTCATCCAAGGTGCTCGCGTCTTTTTCACGCCTTTTTCCCTCACATGGGTTCTCAATTTTGCAGTATCTTCTCATTCTTTAACAGTGATTGAAAAACAAAATCCTATAAGGCCTCAAAAAATAATAAAAAAGCCAAAACTTAAAAAAACATAAGATTTTAATAGGAATCATGACAGCATGCAACCACAGAAAAAATGCTAACCCATATGTCTAAAATCTGCCATCGAATAACAAAAATGGAAACAAAAAATAGAGAGAAAACCACTACTGCAATAATAGAGAATCAAAGCTGAAATTACATGATGTGATAAATGAAAAGAAACAAAAAAAATTTTGCAGCTTTACCATGATAGAATGAAGAAGAGGACGGCGCAAGCGGTGGAGCAACCGGAGTCGAGACAAGGCCTTTGCTTTGCTGTGTGAGTGTGATGGCGTGGCTGAGGAGAAGAAGACGAAGGCTGCAACTGCAAGCTTAAACGGTGGAGTGGAGCGGTGTGGCTTGCTAAATGAGTGCCCTGCTTAGTGCTACCATTTTGAACCAAGAGACAACAAATAAGGACTAGCAGAAAGTTAAAAAAAAAAAAAAAATCTAAATATTTATGTCCGCAGACATTTGCCCATACGTGGGTCCGCCTCTGGTCACACACACATGCCATGACTACTCGTGTGTTTTCGTGGCTGAGGCCCTGCTGATACAGATGGTAGCCATGCAAAGCCGAAGTTCAGAATTCATTTATTTCATCTAACGCCACTTTGCACCAAGCTATCCGGCCTCTTTATTAAATTAAAGTTTAGTATAAGAAGAGGATTCATTTGAAATTAAAAATAAATAAATAGAATTTAATTAAATGAATATTTTATTTAATAGATGTAACTTTGAATATTTAATTAATATTATAAAAAGTATAGGCTATGCGTAGCACTTTGGAGAGATGGAATTTGGCTTTCTTCTCTATAAAACTATTTTTATTAAAAAATATTGTCTGATAATGGGCTCTGAAAGTTGGGATAGGAGGACAAGTTGATGCTGGGATATCCAAATTAAAATTCCTCATATTTTAATTGCGTCCACTAATAATGGGATCCATTAAATAATAGATAATTTTCTCACAAAATGGATTTGGATTAAATGTTTATATATATATATATATATATATATATATATATATATATATATATATATATGAAAGGGTTATATTTGTTGGATATATGCTCTTTTGGTCACTAAAGTCTTATTGGGCTTCAGTGACACTTGAGCTCATGAGGCTTAGGGTTGAGTTATGTCTAAGACCTAAGCGTATATATTCATAGTTTTCTCCTCTTGTGCCTCCAAGGTGAACAGATCATCAGAAACAAACCCAAGAGGCAGACGTTCCTCATCTGAACGGTTGCCCACACAACCATCTCATCCTCCTCGAGAGATAGTCTGGAAGATCGCTCATAGAGGGAACAACTATTGTTTGTGGTCACATAACTACGCCCTTCCAGGTAATCAAAACGATGAAGGTTAATCTTTTCCCTCGTCGTGTCGGTTCGATGCGCTTCCGCATTTCTGGTGAGATTCCTACAATTGGTATCAGAGCCGGATCGCGATGAGGAAAAGAACCAGTTTTGAAATAAATTCATGTGATTGTTTTTGAAAATTATTTTTTGAAAATATGGCATCTTTTTCTATATTTGTTATTTATTTCATGGTGATCATTCGTTTATAATTCTTATTCGATATTGCTTTTAATTTTAATCGGTTAATCGCTTTAATCCATGGTTAGATTCTCTCATGTATTTCTTGATTTGTAACAAGGAGGCTAATCCCATATGATTAGGTTTCCTCCTTGCTGTTTTTTGTTTTTTTTTTGGAATTTCTATGTATTTTTCGAATTTCTGTAAAAATTGGAGATCAAGAAACTGCGAAGAACATGAGGATTCAACACTGTCCGAGACTTTTCGTGGACCTCGGAATTGGACATATATGGTTGGAAAAAGGACGGAAAGACGATCGAAATGACGGGTGGATCGCGGCCGGTAGAGCCTCCACGCGCCGCCACTCGCCACCACAAGTGGCTGAGAGTGGGCTTCACTCTCCGGGAAAGATACGGAGCGTGGGGGCGTGTGCCACACCCTTTTTGGGTGGTTCCGTCGGCCGTGTTCTCGTCTCCCCGTGGCGATCCTTCCCCTGGATTTTCGTGTTGAGATGACTTCGGCTGACGGCGCGGCAAAACAGTTGGCTAGGGTTCCTTTTTGTCTCCTAGGGTTTCTAGCAAAGGGATTGGGTCTTTGGGCTTGTGGGCCCATAGATATCCTAAAGGGGCTTGAGACAGATACTAGGGGCTGGACGGAAAAGGAATTTCAAAGTTGTAATTTTATTTATTTATTGATTATTATAGGAAAGCCATGGATTAAAGTTATTTATTTATTATTTAATGCTTTAATTGAATTGTATGAATTATATGTGTGATTAAACATGATGTATGAAATAACATGTCATATAGAATAGGAAGATGCCATATTGTTGCATGATCACATGTCATTACTGCATAGTAGCTATTATGTCTTGAACCGACTAGTATGATAGTTTATGCGCGTAGTTTTTGATTTTAAATATTCCGGTAAAATAAAATTATGATTATTATGATTTTGGAAACAAAATCTATATTAATGGTTATATTAATTTCGAAAATTAATTTAATTATTATGATTTTGGTAAAATCTAGAATAATCAAATTGATTATTTTTGGAGTTTAAAATCAAGACAATTAGTAAGAAAATTTCCTAAGAGAATTCCTTTAATTTTGCGAGTAATTTGTGGGTCTACTAAAATGGTCATGTGTTAAACACACGCTGCATACCACAATCATGTATCATGATTGTGTGAAGCACACGCTGCCTATCATGACCGGATTTTAGGACCTTAATGATTTCAAAATTCAGATAAGTTAAGTGA